CACACACACACACACACACACACACACACACACACACACACACACACTCTAATAAAGTCAGCTGAATTTGCTCTTCGCGGTGGTCAGAATCTCTGATATCCATCGAGGATCAACGTTCATACATCTGTTGAGGAAATATACAGAAATGAAGGCAAAACCCCAGATCAGTTTTTCTTCTGCATCAACAGTAATCCAGCTGGGTTTTGTCTGCACAGTGCACAACATTTCTACCTGGAAACAAGCCTCTACAGTAGTGTAGTGAACAGCTGACACTCGAGCACTTAAATCAAACATATTTGTATCAAGGCCTCCTTCCATTCTGAACCAGTGAGCCAAAGCTTTAATCACCTTTTTTTTTTTGTAAATTTTGAATCATAAATAACTCTTGTGGTAATCTAAGCCTCCTTTAATTATACACACAACAACAAGTGTGTACTTGTATTTCCCCACTGTTTGAATCTATTCATTTCCACTTACATCATTAACGGTAAAACGCTTTAATTTAGACTCAGTTTAGACTTTTGTTAATGCCATCTAGCCAGCTTCTGGCTTATATCCAAATACACATATTTTTGTGACATAAACGGATACAGATATTTTGCCTATTTAACCCAGTCACTTGTGATGCAGACGACTGACCTCTGTACGTATAGTACAACTATATATGATTGGTGACAACATATAATTAGTCTCACAAATGTGTGCTTGTCTTAGACTGTGAACAGGCAACCTCCTCCTGTATTCGCTCCACCGTCATCATCCTGTCAAACTTTCCTAAAGAAAGAGAGAAAAGTTGACTGTCTGGAAGCACAGCTGAACATTAGGCACCAATGTTTTCTCTCCTGATGATTCACAGAGGAGAGAAAGGAGTTACTTTTTAAAGGAAAGACGCTGCAGCCACCTCACTGGCAGCTTTTTGTGACTGTTGTGCTACAGATGACCCACAGCAGGCAGACTATCAGTCCGCCCGTTTCCACCCCTCCGACATCCAAAAGTCCTCAACAAAACCTTCTTCCCTGCTGATCATCTCTATCTACTGCGTCTGTCTTCATCTCGCCTTCCCACTATCTATCTTTTCCCCCTTTGCAGAGTCACACAAAAAGCCTGTAAACGTTTTTTTTTCCCTTCTCATTGCTGTGCCTATGTTGGAGCTCTGAGTCCTTATTCAAAGAGCAGGGTGCATCTGCAGCCAAGGTGAGACACCAGCCAAAAAAAAAAACGTTTCTTCTTTTTATAGCAAGAGCAGCAATTTGTCGGAAATAATGGTATAGTTTGCAAAGACCTGCAGACACTGCACAGAGTGTTCTCGGTATGAAGAGGGAGAGCAGTAGCGAGAGTAACGGGGTTAAAAAATCCCAAACTGAGATATTCATCATCTGCAGAATAGGTGCAGCGAGACTGCACCAACGTGGAAATGAATTATCCCTTTGCTACAAGCCAGAAAATAACAAAACAGAAGAAAACAACTGCTTGCATCTTGACCAAAGACTGGGCAAAACAATGGGGCACTATGCACTTTGCAGGTTATTCTTCAGTCACCTTGATATGGCTGTACTCCGCCTTGCCGGACTCACTGCCGACACTCTTGTTCTCCGGCCTGGGTTTGAGGACTTGTCGCAGCGGACTGGAGATCGGCAGGCCCATCACACTGATCCCGTCTGAAAAGATGTACACGGTCAGTAAAGAGCAAAGAGACGAGAGGGAAACAGCCTCACATTGTTACACATCAGCAGGAGCGGTTTTGTTGTGATGCATTATTTAAATTACTTATTTTTTAATATACTCACTTCCCCTCATCCATCTCTTAATAGTTGGCGATTTAGCTACATTTCCCAGAAGTGCCATGTTCCTCACAATTACTTGACGATCCCCAGGAATCAGCACCAGATTTCATACTTTTGATCAAACGTAGGAGAATGTTATTGCTATATCACAAACTATTTACATATACTGTATATCATGTTTTATATTATCATTATTAGGCATTGCTTGTAGTGTTTAAATGCGTTGGATGTGTATTAGATTGGATTTTTCTCTTCTGTAATTGATGGCTATGAGGTAGAGTTCACTCAGTTGGTCGGACATCATCCCTGAACAGCGATCGTTCAATGATTGCTCAGGAATCAGAACTCGGCACAACAGGCCCGTCCTGCAGAAATATCTAGGTACCTAGAGAGTTTGAGAAGGATTTATTTTTTTCCCCAACACATTCTCACCCCAGTGAGTCAAATACCACAGATGGGTCAGTGGTCCTAAGCTCCAAACTATGAGGCTCTCTGTAACCCTCTACAGGCACTTTTGGACGGGTCATGGACGGCGGCTCGATATACGTTTGTTAAATTCATAGTTTCTTTTCTATGCAAAGAAAAACACTTACTTACGTTGAGGCAAAGAGTTAAACAAACTTTCGGTTTTGCATTTTGATTTCTATAGATCAGCCATTTTTATGAATACCATCTGTTTGTGTTTAGTTTTATTCATTTTGGTTGTGTGAGCTTTAATTCTTTGCTATGCATCATGCTTATGTATGTATGTACGTATGTATACTTGTCGTTGAATGTGTGTAAATATGTGAAGCAACTGTTTGTTACCATGTATTCTAAAAAAATGCAATATAAAAGTATTTTCATTATTAGTATTAGAGTGTTATTAGTAGTATTAGTATTATCTCAATATATTGTATTAACTTTGTCTTGTAAGACTGCTAACAGCATACTTGACTCTATAAAGTTTAGGTTTTAATATCTGAAAATCTAAGTGGATTTCTGTGGCTAATGGTGCTTCTATGAGAATGTGAAGAAAAAGCGAATGATTTTATATTTGTGTGACCTTGAGAGAAGCAGTTGGACACAGTAGCAGCTGCACTATCAGCAGCTGCATCCGGCTCCACCACAGGGGCTGCTGCTTTCAACCCGCTCAGACAAAACTCAAAAATGACGCCCAGAGCCCAGACTCCGACGTCAAAGGAACCGTATCGCTCTCTGACGTCAGTGGAGAGCAAAGCCCTGCAATTTCCCCTCAGAGAGGGGACATTACCGGCCTGTGTAGCAGCTCAGGCAATTGGGTTCACTGAAGACGGACGGACAAAGTCACAGTATATCAAACTATAACAACCACATGCCAGATTGGTAAAATAGAACCAACTGGAGGAGCATTTCTGTTAGGAAAGAAAAAAGCCAGAGCAACAGACGGGTGTGTACGGCGTGAATATGTCGCTGTACCGATGGAATTAATACCGTCGAAATGTGGATTGTGCTAAATTGGCCGTGACAACAGGTGAACAAGGAGGAAGTGTTGAGATTGTCTGAACAGCAAACAGCAGTAACCGCAAATTAACACTGGAGCAGATCAGGAAACAGGGACACTTACAAGTAACATAATGAAACATAAAAGAGAGGAAATTTGAAATAGTGGCGCGTATCCGATGATAGGCGTAATAAAGAAAAGCATCGGCTCTACTCCTTCCCTTATTAGGTCCCAGCTATTTCTTTTGGGTGCTATTACAGAAAGTCATATGTGAACGGAGCGAACACAGATTGTTTTCCTGCGTCTTTCTTCTATTTGATAAATAACAACAGTCGGCTTGAAAATGGCCTGTCTTTGGTCAGCACCGCTTTAAACCTGCCTTGGTATAAACATGTCTCTAGAGTGTTTCATCCGATTTCACCGTGTTTCACTCACGATTGTCAGCATCCGTCTTTCGGGGCAGCCCAAAAAAACGCACAGCGTACAGGCTTCACTGTGGGAAACCTTCTCCATATAGCGATTGCTGTCACTGCCCCGGTGACAACAATCTCCTCCTTGTTATTGCCTCATTCTCTGTATCCTGCTGCTAAACAGATTAGATATGTATCGTGACATACACTCAGAGTGGCAGAAAGGGAGAGAGCCAGAAATCCAGACTTTATAAACGGCATCTTTCATCACGGTACGAGGCCTGGTTCAGAAGATACACATGACTCGTTGTGTCCTGTGGCACAGAGACTGTGTGAGTAATGGGTGCTGTGATTAACGATGGCATTGCTCACAAGTCACAACCCCCCCCCCCCTTATACCCTCTCCTTCCAATCAGTATCTGTCTAACCATCTCGGGGAGAACAGGGTGGAGTCGAAGTTGCTATCAGTGGTCAGATCGCTGCATTACTTGCTTTATCTTCATTGTAATTACATAGAAATTTTCCAATAAAAAGACATTTTTGATGGTACAGCCATGGTGATTCTTCCTCAGGCTGCCATTTGGGTAGATTTATCTATGCTGGGCTGTAGCCACGCCCCCTTTTCAACACGCAGGCACTACACGAAGGTGAGAGGTCAAGTGTGTGGTGATGGCTGAGTGAAGAGTGCATTTAAATAAAAAGGAGACCGAGCTGGTCGAAGGGGGTTCAACTACAGCAGAGAAGCAATGGTAAAACATCCTTTGTAGTTTAAGTAGTTAGCTACACAAAAAAAAATGGCAAAAACAGTAATTGAACTACTTAAATCAGTGTGAAGTTATCATAGGTGAACTGCCATCAAGCTACTGCAAACTTACTAGTTTAATTACATGTAGTTATTTACTCGCAAAACAGTGATTATCATCACAGGTCTGTGGGTTCAGATGCTACGGTGGATCTCTGCCGTGTCAGTATACAAGCCTTTTTCCAGGAAGATAAACATATCTCGTAGATATGGACAATATGACTTGTTACAGTGTAAACATTAACACCCTGTTCAATATCCTGTTAAAGGAAGACAACCGTGAGAAAGGAAATACACATAAAATACCAACCGCTGCTTATCCTGAGCTGAATTTAACATTCACAATTACGTGTACTTTGACACATACTGCAGCTTTGGGTTGTTTCTGGGCATCAAAAACACCATTAATCCAATTCAACACATCAAGATATTACAGCAGAAAACCTGACTGGTACTCCGAGCTGACGCGCACCACTGAGACCGAGAGCATCATTACGCTTCTATCAGCCTCACAAAGAGAGCGAGAGGAAGGGCTCTACGTGATGAGCAGGAATCCGGTAGTTGTACAAAGATCTGAACAAACGATTTCAGTCATTACAGCGAGCTATTCCAGTCCGTCTGGAAGCTCCATTAAAGTCATCCATCGACAGCTGCTTTGTTCATCACAAACGAATGTCTGGCAGAGATTCACGAGGTATTTGACTTCAGACAATAATACAAACGCTATTAATATTCTGCCAGGTTTTTTTGGGGGTATTTTTCACTTTACGGCTACTGACGTATTGCTATAACCTTAACGTCAATACAACAGAGGCCTCAGAAGAGACCATCTCGTGATAAGATAAGTCACTGTTGTGCCGTTTGTGAGCTGTCCTGCTGAGATCACCTATCAAATGGTGTGTCCGCCACTGACGTCTTTTTTCCTTTGATTTTCCTGTTAATTAGGTTTCTGTAGGTCGCACTCTTATCTCGGTCTGTGCAGCCATGGTGGCTATCACCGCTCATGATAACTGCTCAGTTCTCTTTCCATCTATTCCCGACAAACTGGAAACCTGGAAGTATAAGAACTCTTACTTTGCAAATAAAGCAGGGTATGTTTTAAAATGACTATTGCAAAACGATACAATATGTTTTGTGATATCTTGCTTGGGAAAAATAATCAAAAAGAAGAGATAAACAGATAGAATCCAGAGGGTGGTGGCGACGCAGCTGGAGCTGTTCGGTGACAGCCAAAAAGCAAAGAAGAAGAACAACTTGTGCACTTTAATAGTTTAGTTACAACAGTAAAAGTTTGGCTGGCCTGATAACTATCCATAACACAAACACATGGACTACGATCCAGACAAATGTTTTATCATCTTCACCGGCTCTCATTCGAGCTGCTCAGGCCGAGTGGTTGAAGGTCTGAGTTTCATGAATAACACCTGCAAGTCGATCACCTTCCGAGGTCTTTGGATCAGTCGGTATATAACCGGTATTGAAGGCCTCTGTGACTCATATAAAGTCTGGAGATCTGACAGCTATCCAGTCCACCAAAGATGCACAATGTTTACATAATTAACTTATTACTTTACTCTTGTTAGCTCTTCTTTTATTACACTCATCAGCCAGATGTGACATAATTTCATGCTGCTGTTTACTTGCCCTGTGAATAGTATGAACGGCAATAAAGTTAATCTATCCATCCATCTGTCTAACAAGGGGACTGATGCAAATGACCAGACAATCAATGCCTCAATGCTCTTTCAATACTTTTTTTAAAAAGTTTTTATTACCAAGTATTATGGACACATTCCGGTCAGTACCAGAAAGTACTGGAGTTTCATAAGCAGCCATATTTGTCTACAAGGTTGTTGTTTTCTTTCTCCCCATCGAGAAACATGACCATATCACACGTCAATACTTTTAAAAAGTCTTCTTGGGGGGCTAAAAGTCGATGTTGGTGCTGCAAGTTAAGTACTTTAAAACAAATAGCACAGCAGTGGATCGTCTCCCTGATGTCGACTGAGGACAAACGATGAGAAAACTCGAAAAAACAAAAGCACCTCCCCGTCTCCTAAATTAAAAGGAGCTTGAATGCACCTTCTTCTCCGTCTGAGCCCTTTAATTTATGTTGTTCGTTGGCATAATGCATTTCCTGTGTCTTTACTTTGTTTTTGAAGCAGACATTTTCTGTGGTACAAGGCAACATTAATGTAGGCGGTAGCACCGTCATTAGGGCACAATGCTCACACCATTTAATACGATAAAGTCAAGGCCCATTAGTCTTGAGTGATGACATCACTCCCTTCTGATCCCAAGTTACGGTGTCGTGCTCTCGAGCCGGACCCAAAGTGAGGGACAAACTATTCCGAGGATCAATCAATGAGCCCCGGCCTGTTTTGGACGCACTGTTTCCTGTGGCTTCGTCTGCTTTGTCCCTTCTGCCTCAGCTGAAACACAAAGGACATCGAGTGCACAACTGCCAGCCAGCATTACAGTTAAGGCCGATGGATTGGCTTTCTCCTCAATGTGCACATTGATCAATCCATAGCATATAATTAGTGAAAAATTCTAGATATGCAATATCACTCAACCGTCTGACAGGTGTAAATCAAGGCACACACTAATTCCCACCTGCAGCATAACAGTCAAATCTGAACCTTGTTCATATGATGGCTGCAAGACATCGGTGCTTACGGTTATATGAAATATAGATAGGCGCTGATGTAACACAATGTACCCGCAGCAAACGCATCAGAGAGACACACACACACTACACAAGCTGTGAGCTGTCATCTATCCTCAGGCTGTGGAGCTGGAAAAAGAGAAAGTGTGAAAGAGAAAACAGACAGACAGGGAAAAAAATAAAAGTCTTTACACCTGGGCAAACTGAAGGCAAACTTCATTCACATGCATCCACATTCACATTCATCCACATGATCAATGAGCAACTGACGTATAAAGAGCAAGGCAGTCCATGAAGGGCGGGAGGGAGCGGACGTTGGACAGGTCAAACAAACACGACTTCCAGGAGACCGCTGTTTGTGTCCTGTGTGAACGCACGTCATCGTGAGTACTGCGCTCACTTTATAATGTTACTTTATGCAAGACGTACTTACCGAAACCCTAATCACAATCTTTTCCTAAGTCTAACCAATACATTTTGTTGTATTAACCTAACTACGTAGTTTTGTTGCATAAGTAAACCTAAAAACTAAGTAAACCTAGAGTTGGGAGACTGACGCTAGAGGGGTACACAGAGCGTCATAGTTTGAAGCGTATGGCCACTGACCAACAACTGAATTTGACAATTTGGAAGAAACAATGTATTGATTTATCACGTAATGTCTTGTTTGTTTGTTTTTAAGCAGAAATGTAAAAATGAGAATTTGTAGTTTCACCGAGAGTTATGTTCTAAACCAATCTAAACTATTGGTCTGAGGTCTGGTGTGTGTGTGAACGGTTGAATGAGAGACAGATTGTAAAGTAATTCCAATAAAAGCACTATATAAATGCAGTTCATTTACCCTCCATTTACCCTCCATTGGTGCCGTTAAGAAATTCAGCAAATTGAACCAAATGGCACCAAATGAAAAATTTAGAAGACACTACCGATTTGTTGGCAATGATTTAGTTCATTAACTGTTTCCAGAAGGTAGGAACAAATCAAAAGAATGCATTAATCCGCTAAGTATGAAGACTGCTGCACAAACATACTGCGTTGCCCTTTTCAGTGTGGAAAATGGCAAAAATGAACAATGACAATCATCGATCTTCAATATTTGTTTGTGCATTTACGATCAGTGCTTTGCCTTGTTTGAAGACAACCAATTAGTGTATTTTTTAATACACTAACTGTGCACAGCTTCAGCTGCAAAACAGAGCAACAAGGTACATCATTCTACTAAGGTTATTAAAAATTATTATCAATGGTATTTAAAAAAAAAGAATTAACAATAGTCCCCCCCCCCCCCCCCCCCCCATTTCACTGCATTGGAAGTAGAGTCAGTACTCAGACAGTTGTGTCTCAACAAAAATCTTGTTCCAGTTTAATTAATTTTCACTACAACGAGTCCTGTTCTGAATTAATTATGTGTTCATATCTACACTGATAACTCTGACTGTCTGCTGCAATATGATTGCAGATGTCTGAATCCCTGTAATACATTCATGTTCATTTTGTGTTTGTAGAGGTCTCCAAATGTTTTATGTTGCTAAAGGTTGCAAAAATATTCTGTATTGTAAAAAAAAAAGTTAAAGAACAGTTCAAAATACGCTTGTTTGTTTGTCTTGCTAAGAGTTCAAATGGATGGTGGATGGGAGTCTGCAGTCAGAGCGCATTGAAAATGAGCTTTTCTCTGTTTTTCTGCCGGTTGAAGAGGTGTATTGATCAAGTATTGGATTGTTATTGTGGAAGGTGTTACTGAACACACAGTAATGAGCGTAGTTAGAGGAGCTCGGCCCAGACACAGAGAACAGAGGAGATGCTACAGGCTGATAATGAATAGCTTTGAAATGCTAAGAAGTACCGATTCAAAAAGAACTGAAAACATCGGAGCTTATCGATAATTACGCCCCGAGGCCCGTTAAATTTCCGGGTTTCAGTAACCAAACTGTTCGTTTTTACATTTCTGATAGGTACGAAATAAACAAACAATGTTATGTTGTTGCCTCCAACAATGTGACTCACTAATGGTACCATGTGGCGACATTAAAATGCATGTGTGACTATGTGTGGTGACTATGCAACACAAGTAAACAGTTGTTGGAAGCATCAGTCGTGCCTAATCAAGACGTTTGATGGCAGAAATTGGTAATCTTCCAGCACAGAAACTGTCTTTATGCAAATAAGTTCATGTGTACATTCACACAACATTATTAACATGCATTAAAGTGGCAGATAGCATCAAACGTGTTGAGCAAAAACTGCATCCCATAATGTCACCATAACAACTGAATTCACAGCTGTTTGGAGCACGTCTTATCTCCTTAATTCAGGGCCCCCAATTATTGCTCAGCTAATTAAAACATTGAACCAGTATCGCTCAAATGACCTCATGAGGAGAGCGGCACCGGGGCTGAGATGAACACGCATTGTATGTATTTACTTTCTCAGTCATCTGAATCCACATACACAAACACACACAAAGTAAAGTCTCTGTGGCGCAGGAGCAGTTCCATAGCAGTGGTTCCAATCATTAATATTTATGTGCCCACAGACTCGGTGGTGGAGAGGTTCCACAGTTTGAAGAAGGAGGCACGGGGGCGAGCGAGGCAGAACTGAAAGAAGGGCCGAGCATGAGCAGTGAGAAAGACCGGAGAAGGAGCACAGTGAATGGGCTTCGAGGTAGGGGAGGAGGTGAGACGATTTCTTTTTAATCAGGAATTAGAATTAGAAGAGAGGAAATGCGCCAGTTGAAGTGAGGAAGCCAGGAAGCTAGGAGAGAAACGGAGGTGTGGAGACCTTGAGACCTCTCTCCTAGTACCGCTGAATCTGAAACAAGGAAGCTCAAATCCCTGTAATGCAGGGGGCTCCATGCACAGCGACGCATTAAAACGTACTTCTGCATCCAACACGTGCATAGCTTCAGCTGCACAGTTAAAAGGTTGCATAAAAATTCTGCTGCAAACAAACAAAAATGGTATATAATTCATCCTGAGGGGGATTTGTGTGTCTGCACCAAAACGTATGGCAATGCATGAAATTGTTGACAAAACAGTTCACTCTGTACCACCGATGTCCACCTGCTGGTGGCGCTAACCACATATCATGGCTAAACACATCACCCTCTTTAAGTAAACTGTGAGCTTTTGACACCCATTTAGAGTCACTCTTGCATTAATTAGCAGGTATACACTTAGAAATGGCCGTCTTCGTCCACTCACCATCATTGAGGTCCTGCAGCAGGCTCTCCTGGCCGGAGAAGTCCAGCTTGACTTTGATGTTTACGGTCAGTGTCACGGCCTGGCCGGACTTCAGAGGCAGGCGAGACAAAGCGTCCTCGAGCTCCCAGCTGAGAAACTCCCCAAACACTTTCTCTGCACACACAAAAGGGAGATAAAGCCAAATTAAGAACATACTAATTAAATAAAACTGATTTTGAAAGAAAATCACAAAGCATTTCTGGCTGGGATGATACCTGCTCGGATCAAAGACGGCAAGACTTGCCAAGCTTGTGGTAGCATTTTTGGATGGTAATAGTTTTGGACAAGGAAAACAAAATGACACTGCTGTGCTTGTAATCGCCCAAAGGCAATTTGCACACATGAGCAGTCAGCTTGCACATCACTAAGGAAGCCGTGCTCCTGTGATGTTTCCTTTGCAATACGCTTTCCAGAGCAACAAAGCTGCTGATTGGCTCAGAGTCCTTTGGCTGCTCGTCACTAGACCTGCCTTTCGCAAATGTACGCCTCTCCAACCTCTTCTACCTGAGACGAATGATTCAGCTGCATCCACTTCAGCCAGCAGCATCAAATGAACGATACGCCACCTGAATAAAGCGTGTGTTCTGTGTGTGCAGGTGAGCCATTCCTGCTCTAAGGGACTGCAGGAACAGCAAGCGGGCTGATTTTAACAGGAGGGGAGATGGAAGTTCACAGTAGGAACAACAGTTTACACGTCCCTGCTTGATTCATAACGAAAATCTCTAAAATCCTCTCAGAGGATGTGAATGTAGGCAGCATTAAATAAAGGTTTTGTGAATAACGCTGCACTCTAAAAATTCATAAACTCCAGAGCTTCCTTGCAGTAAATTAAACAAGAGAGGGAGAAAAAAAGGAGAGTGAAGCACAGAAGGAAATGATTTTAAATAAATGGGATTGGGGGGAAAAAGAAACATTCACTTGAATATGCAACACCAGGCCTTGTAACTCAACGGGTAGACAGCCAGGATTGTGGATGACACATTAATATCGTCACACTACTAAAGTATGAGTCACAAGAAATGACTGTCGAGATATCTTTCATATATTATTTAAAATATTAGCCAGAGACATTCTTACTCTGAAAACACAATATGTGGATCATGTCAGTGCTTCTTTAGGGCAAATACAAAACAACCTCTGTTTTAAACGCCGTCTGTCGGGAACACTTAGGTCGGGTTTTAAGATTTTCATCCTTTCTGGCCGTGACTACCCTGCTTTTATTTATCCCACAATAATCCACCTGTTGGGGAATAAAGAGTAGAGGCTGTGCAGGAGAGCTATAAGGTAATAAATAAAATAAATAACAGGCATCAGTCAGGACAAATCAGCACCAATCAGAGACATTGCAGTAGGGCATTGTGTAACTTTGAATCACCACAATTGTTCAAATAAATGCTCAGATTGAAGATCTGGGAGTCATCCGATTTCACAACAAGTCAAAAACTAATTAGGGCACAAAGGAGCTCTGGGTGTGTCTAACTAAAGCAATCAGTAGTGTCAACAGTTAACAGTAGACTGGACACAAAAGAGAAATATCCAATAACTTCACTGTCAAACATAGGTGATCTCATCGTCCTATGACAAGCCGGCTGTGGACTCTGAGGTCACCACCACCAGGCGTGGGGTTGATGTTTCAGAGTACGAAACAAGTACCACTACTGGTCAATAGTCCACCCCTACTGCCAAACAACAACACTGGGCAATATTAGACAATTCTGTAACAATGAAAACTCTTTTTTTACATGAAATGCCAATGTTTCCAAAATCCTCGCTGTCTACAATATCAGCTTAAAGATGGACCAGCTATGATATGACCAGCTCTGAGTTTTGCTCTGCTTTTTAAAAAATACATTTTGGCTAATTATTTTAACTGTTAGCATTAATCAGTCAAAATCCATGCTGTTTGTTAACAGTTTAACAGTTAATTGTTTACATCCCAAATAAGGAGGAAATGGATGTAGTCAAATGAGAGGCAGCTGACAGGCAGCTCTGCTCATGGAAACTAAATCAGTGAAGCAATATCAATCCCCTCTTTTCCTTTATGTTGTATGGGCTGCACAGTGGAAAGTGTTTTGTCCTCATCCAGACATTTGATATGAACGCACATAAGTGTTGTAGAGAACAATTGAGCTGAGCTGATGTTTATATCACAGAGGAGCGATGCGGTGGCTGTGATGAACAAAAGCTCTGATGGCAGCTTATTTTCTGCTATTCAGAGACAACTCCGCTTATGTAAATACTATACAACAGATTACTGTATGAAGAGTTTGCTTTGTTATCTACGTTTATGGATATTTCTGTTTTTTGTTTTTGAGAAACTGATCTCCTCTCTCACGTCACGATGGCTGCGGCTGTGCTGTACCAGAAAGAGTAATGATTGTTTGTTTTGCCGCAGATGTCTTCCTATTGTGACTTCATCTTTTATTCATTCCCTTCCCACAGAAAACGCAGAGAGGCCCTCTCAACCCCGGCCTGTCTAAAGCCACTGGCGCGTTAGAGCTCAGGAGGCACAGGCAGGTGGGGACGAGGTGATACGACGACCAGGCATGGAACCTCTTCAGCCTCCGTCATCGGGCCTACTGCACCGATGACCTCCTGCTTACGAAGGCAGACGAAGCGGAGCATCACAACAAACATGGAATGTTCAGAGTGAACTTGCACATTCACAAATCTCTGTTGTTGGATTGGGGGAGCCAAGAAAAGACCAACGCAGGTATGTGGAGCACTTTGTAAAGTCTCTTTTGATACAAGTAAAGAATTTAGGGTTAGGTTTAACAATAAGAGAAACTACCACAATGATGGTTTATGATGGTGCACGTAATGACAGCTGCTCTGGAACCGTTTAAGAAATTGAAAGAAATTGGTAAAATGTAGGTACTTTGCCAGAGGAGGCAATATGCAAACGCATTGCATTGTCTACGTCCATTTATGGCTAAATATGAGAGTTGAAATCAAGCTTGTGCATGTGGAACTAGTTTCACATCAGTAGATTATTATCAATTCACAGTTAAAGGGTTAAGGTGATAATATCTCATGAATGGCATACAAATAAAAGCAAAAAGGATGATTGGAGTCAACTCAGTTCCAGCTGCTAAAATCTTCAGAGTGCTGTCTCCATCCAGAAACCACCTTTAACTAGCACCATTTTAAGTGGATGGTTCCTCATCATTAATGGAATGAGGTGGCAAAACACCATTAAAAACGAGATTGACCAGATTAAAAATACATATTCATTAAAGTGTGGGAATGTATTCAAGGACGAGGCATATTTCAAGCACATTTCTTGAAACCGCAGTGGTTTCAGAAGTTATGGCGACAAAAAAAAAAAAGATGAATTTACATAGAGAGGAGAACTGTATGATCAATTGCACCGCAATGCAATTAGCAGGTTGGGTTGTATAATGCAGCCAACCACACTGTTCTTCCTCTGAGGCAATAAGTGAGCTTTGGCGGAGCCGTCATATTCACAGTTGAAAGCATTTAACAAAAGACTCCATCAGGTATCATGAGGACACTTACAGACCTTGCTATTCGCAATGATGAAAACTGAGAACACAGCAATATCTGTGTACAGACATGGGAAACATAAGCTGCAATATGGCTGCAGTGCAGAAGAAAGTACTCTCTGATGTGTGCAACAATCAGCCTCTGGAACACACTGGGAACAACACCCTGCAAATACTGCTAGTTTCACAGGAAGCTCATCTACTAGCAGCTTTCTAGGGGTGACTGGTTAGCGTTAAACAGAATGCACTCTGCCATCAACACTGTTTCTACGCTGACTCAGTAAAATAAAGTTTTTAACGAGCTTTTCCTTCTCTTCCTCAATTCAGAATATTCCCAAATAGACACCTCCTTCCTCAGCATTGTTGTCTTGCCTTGGGGTGGTACATAGTAGACTGTTTATCAGCCTTTAATGTAACCTTCTTAATTACCAGCTGTTTACCACTGAAAGGGGACAGGTGACACTTTAAAACTGGTTGTAATATCTTGCGTAAACTAACATCTTAATGAGACATGAGTGGTGTTTTTCTTTACATTCAAAAATTGTGAAAATTGTAACAGTGTCTACCATGAAACATGTTAGCTGTGTCCAGTCATCGTTTAAAGGAAGAGCTTGTCATTTTGGACCCTTCATCATGTGGACAGTGGGAGCCGACCCTCTCCACCCACTGAGCTACAGCCGCCCCAAAGTCAACACTGGAGAAGCCATCTGTTCAAAAACATGCAATTCTAAATTTACCCTTCGCAAAGTCCCATCCTCGAACGCAGACTGGCCAATCGCAGCGTAGCTTCGGCCAGCTCCGACCAGGTACCGACGACTATCTGGCTCTGCTCCATAGACCCTCGTGCAATCGTTCCAGCCTTTCCTCATTTTCAGGCTGGTTTGGTGGATTTGAAGCTAGTCGTGGTTAAACGTTGTGTAATGGTGAGACTCGTTACCCGGAGAGGTTGGAAGCAGATGGACGTCTCTAAAATGTTACGTTTCAACATAAACACCTGTGGAGCTAAGAGAGTAGGTTAGCATATCATTAACTAGCATGTCTATGCTACCCTTGCTACTGAAGGTATACTGAAAATCTGCTCATGCTGCTTTTGCCTTTTAATGATTGTAACAGTGAATAAAGACCGTGTTGTTCTTTCATTTCATTGTCTTCTGTCTTGATCTCCAGATGATGTGGTGGTTCACTTTTACACTGTGATCTGTAGCTTTGGCTTCTGTCTTGATCTTTTTAACCTGTTCTTGCTGCTGAATCAGTTTGACATCCTGGATATATCCTTCAAAACATAATGTAGACTCTTCTATCTGCTTCTTTCTGAAACCGTTTTTTTCTTGGTCAAAAGATTGAATAAGACGTGTTCAGGGAGTGCAGATAGTGACAGTGTGGGCTCCATGGTAGCGAGGAGAAGTTTAATTAAATAACCTTTGTGGTAAGACTGCATCCTGGATATGTCGTCACTAAATACAACCACTACAATAGACTGCCTTTAGAACCAAAGTGAAACCCAGATTAAATTTAAAACATGACTCCTGTGACACACTCCAGACGGAAGCTGGTCTGACATTAAAATGGCCTTCAAAGGTCTCCTAGCTCAGATGTGGTAGACGTAATTGCTTACAGGGGTTCTTTCTTTGTATTGTAATGAAGCCTACTGCCAGGGCACCACCTCAGGAAATGGCAGCATCAATAAGGAGGCTTGACTGCTGTCGCTCTGACACAATTAGATGAAATAACGCAGATAGTTTGGGGTACAATATGCGCTTGAATGCTGCTCATACATCCAACATAAGAAACAATATGTAGACCTTATGAAATATATTTATACTGTATAACAATCCCTGCTGTATCCTCTTCATATTTCCATGTGTAACATCATAATGATGAAGCTATACATTAATAACAATACTGACTGCAAAGGTAGAGATAGTTCAAAGCTTCCAGACACTGCTGCTAAGTTCCTTCAAGGACAACAGCAGAGAGACAAGAATAAAAGGTATTTTTTAAGTTTTTTGGGCCATTTTGATGTATCAATACACACACATAACCCATATACTTAACTGCTAATTTCATAATCTAATGGTGATCATTTTAATAGGGTCACTTTATCTTATGTGTACTGCATCAATGTCATAATAGGTAAGAGTCAGTTCCTTCACTTTGTATGTGTACTAATAACGTCATAGGATAAAGCTGTCCAAGTTGTTTATTAATCAGAGGGAGGTATAATTTCCAGTATAATGTCCCATAACAGTGAGTATTGGAGACTACAAAGTACAAAAAGCTGGTATTTGTTTGATTTAAATAATATTTTGCTCAACCTTTATCTCAAGTGAGGTATCAGTAAGCACTGTTTTGGTGTGTGTACCTTGTTAGTAAAAGACAACATCATTTGCTTCATTGATATCTGCTCTGAAATACGTAAATAAGATAATAAGACGAATGAAACAGGCAACAAATTAGCAGCAAAGCCTTTGAGGGAAAGCTGAGATGGTGTGCGTTTCATTTTCAGTTATTTTTGCTCGTTCATCCAACTCAAAAGATATCATTGCCTCGGAGGCAAAGCTGTGTTTGCAGCCTGAATCGTTTCCAACCACCACAACAACTGCTCCATTTCAAAAGAGAACGCTCGTTAACTGGAGAGACTGGTGGCTCTGAGAGGTAGACAGTTAGTCACTGGATGAGTGTCAAATCCCCGGCTATTGTAATTAGAGTTCTTTACTAGTTAGCACTGACAGGCTAATTCTTATCCACTGTGAGCGAGGGCTTGATGGGGCTTTTGTACACAAGATCCCAGGCAACAAGCGAGACACAGTGATTCTCTCACCACGCCGTCATCAGGTCATTAAATCTACAACAGGGCTGGTCAGCAAAGATTCCCCCCAACTCTACACAGAAGAAAGAGTTATTGACATTCTTGTGAGATAAATGCATGAAAAGTGAGAAGAATATACACCTGAGCGGTGTAAGCCTGACAGAAGCTGCCCGGTAAGACGGGAGATATGAGTGTCAACTCTTGGACGGAGGATATGTTAGTGTAGCTCGTCTTCAATTAAACACAGAACCCTCGGGCTATTTTGTGAAACGTCAGATCGATTTCATACTGGCCTCCAGCCACTCCCCCTTTGCTCATCACTGTGTGATCGAACTGCTGCCGAGAGCAAAGTTAGAAAGCGGTTGGAAAAAAAAAGCAGATTTTTCTTGGTTTTATGGTGGAATCAGAAGACAAGTACTGTCTAATAGTTTGAGAATAGCAGGTCAAAACCTTTGTTAAGATGGTTTCTGACAAAGTGCATACAGCGATACATCTACAGTGTACTTTTACAGTCAAACATCTGTTTTGATTCTGTTGTATTTGCAGTATAATAACATAAATTAGAAACACTGGACTCTGACAACTTCAGTTGAATGTCCAAACACATTTCTGAATTAGACAGAAGAAAAACTTTAAAAATAGCATTATATACCAATGATTTTACACTTACCAATACTGTAGATAATCCCAACCCCCTGATCGACCCATCATGTTTCAAATGCATTTATTTGAGAGTAATTTAGTTGTTTGACATTGTGATTTTTCTTTTTTCAAACTAGCTGAGCTACTCTGCAATCTTTCCATGAACCATCTGATATGTGCAACGGCCAGAGAGCACGGAAAAGTTTATTTTCAGCTGTAAAGTGTCTGAATTTGTACATATATTGGTCACCATAGTTAAAACTAAATAAATAAAAAAAATTGGAAAATGATTGTGATCAGATTGTTATCTGATGTCAATATGATCTTACTGGATTTAGTATGATTCGCACTCTTCTCTCCATAGTGGTATCAGTTGGTATCAGCCATATGCAGAGTCGGTCTTTCGTAACTCTCTAAATGCACAAAAATGAATAGTATTGTTAAAAGTAATAATATTATTACAGTGTCAGTATTTAGAACTGTCTGTGGACCAAAGGAAGTCTACATTTCTGATTAAATTAACTGACTGAGTGGGATTTTAGAAATGATTTTGTAATTACTGTTTATCACCTGGCTGGTCTGCTGACCACAGGTAGCACTGGGCAGGGGGTTTTCAAAGCATGATTTCTCATTTATCTCATCAATAAAATATAATAGAAGTGAAATGTTTCTGCCTATTTTAGTAGCGCAGCTGCTTTTTTCACACAGAGCGTGAGACAAAGACAAAAAAGCAAGAGAGAGTGATAGAGAGAGAGAGACAGACAGACAGACTGAGGGGCACTGCAGAGATCTGAGGACCTGAGCAGGTGTTGAACAAAGACATGGAACACAGAGTGAAAAGCCACGGGCATGAAAGATGTGGAACGAAAGGCAACAGGTAACGGCCTCTGTTGTACTGCGGACACAGGGACTGCAGCAGGATGGAACAAAAACTCAGTGGGTGAAGTACATCAAAAACTGTACATGTACTGTACATAGTACATGTACACACGTCGATGATTTCAAAACTTTTGCAAGTTTTCCCACATTCTATACCTGGAAAATATAAAACATAGTGTCCTTCCCTTCCTATTTGAGCCCCTTAAGTCCGTTTTTTTACACACTCCACTGAAGTTCTGAAAGTTTTCAATCATCGACCACTGCAGCCTTCATCCTGCTCTCCAGACTTGAAGGCCTCTGTATCAAAAGGCACTGCCCTCAGCTGGCTCTTAACCAACAGATCATACTTTATCTCCTTACGCAACCACTCCTCAGTCACTTCCACAGTCGCACAAGGTGTACCCCAAGGTTCCGTACTCGGCCCACTTCAACATCTAAATCGTCCCTCTCGGTCAAAATATCCACCATTTCAGACTGGACTTCCACTGCTATGCTGACGACACCCTGATATACCTCACCACTCTACCACATCGACTCCTGTCTGTCTGCAAGAACATTTTCTAAAACTCAACAGTTACAAAACTGAACTCCAAGTCCACCCTCGGCAAAAGCAGACTCCATACTCCCCATTGATGGCACCACTGTCTCCCTTTCCTCACAGGCACGCAGCCATGTTGAGATCCTTGACCTCACCCTCTCCCTAAACCCCCACATCCGTCAAATTGTCAAATCCTCCCATCACCTTTTGCAATATTGTCAAGAACCGTCCGTCTCTCACATGAACTAGTGCTGAAATAGTGATCCACGCCTCAGTTTCCTCATGCCTCAATTACTGCAAATCACCAGCGCTAGCTCCATCAACAGACTCCAACTGGTCCAGAATGGATCCAAAGCTTCCAACCCACACCAAATCCTGGCACCAGATCACCCCAGTCTATACAAGTGCTATACAAATTTGATCAATTATTTATCATTAATGTACTGACAGAACTTCCTGTTTGTTTCGTAATTTAAATCCGAGATGAGAAATATTCAGAAAAAGTAGGATTGAAAGGTACGGTTTAGTCATTCCATAGGGTACTAACCTTTGGTGCTGGCAGTCTTAGAGGTGAGCTCCAGAGTCTCGATGTCCTCAGATCCAATGTTCTCCAGGGTAATGGTCAGCTGCTGGGTCTCTCCGTTAAAAAGCTGGACTGACACAGAGCTAGACAGTTCCTCTTTGGGCGTTGGCTGAGACGTGTGGGCTGACCTGTTTAGGGTTTGTGGAGGAGGGAGAACTTTTCAGCGATGATTCGAAGTCAAATGTGCTCATTGTCTTGAGGGTTCAATATGAATTAAGGAAATAACTCAGGAGATATAAGGCCTGTTATGGCCAAGGCAAGTTTGATATGGCTTGATACGATGCAAACAGTTCCATTACACTTCTATCATAATTTGCAGAACAATTCTTCAGGCATAAATCAAGTATAGATGAGTGAAGACTGATCCTGCTTTACATGCTCTCTCCAACATTTTAATGAAAATGATAAGTGCTTCTTGGAATCTCATTAGCTGGAGCGTCATTTGTTGATGCCTTTTTTCACACAGTGGGGAGTCTTGGTGACTGATTTGTGGGTTTTGCCATTACATCTCATTTGGATGGTATATTTAACATGTATGTGACAATTTATGGATTACCAAATCATATCGGAGATAGATGAAAAAATGTCCCGTACCAATGGCCACAAGCTTCGTTTATGAAGCATGATCAGTGAATTGTGCGCGGCATTGATGAAAGACTGCACACACTGGGTGACTGATAACATGTCTGTTTATACAGTGTACAGCATATAGACCCCTGGCACGATGATTGAATAGTCATTTAAATAAGTAAATCCACACTGATTCACATAAAGCAGAGAACTGCTCATCCACTTCACAGAAATGTGTCGTCTTGTATTTTTGGCTGAATTTCAGTCAGTGACAAAGTATTTGAATCAGCTGTCAAAAGTGAAACGCCTGCAGCTGATGCTTCAAGTTTCAAAGAGCTGTTGGCATCTGTCTTTGCAAAGCAAATACTGGAGCACCACGGGACGTACAAGATGACCAAATATCAATGCAGGTATTTTTCTGCTTTAGCACACCTCATTACACACGCACATGTGCACAACCTTAAATGCAACAAAAGCTCTGCCTGAGGCTAGAATTACAAGGCCAGTCATCGCCCACTGCTTAAGTGTTTTTTTTCCCCGAGCACTGGGGACAGAAGGACAAAAGTGACCCCGCAAAATGTTACTGACAGTTCAAATGCATTTTGGAAGTTATAATACGCTTACATTACGGTAGACCTATGCTCTTTATAAATGTTAGAAATAATTAAACCTAATATTTGAACACTGAAGCAAAACTAAGAAAGCAGCTTTGTGCTGGAGGGAGAAAAGATATTGGAAAAGTCAATGAGGCATCTCTTCAACGGAGGTCAGAGCTGAAGGTCTACTTGTGGACCCAGTGAGAGCACCTGAGGGACCGCATGACGCATCACATTTGTATTCTATTTGCTGCATGTGTCTGAAGTGGGGCTCTTCCAACGCTGAAGAATAAAAAGATTTTCCACATCAAAAGCTGCTGGAGTGCTGTACTTACAGACGTGACCTAAATAGTGGATTTCTCAGCAGCTCCGCTTGTCAGAATGATTTAAAACGCTCCAACAGGGCGCTTTACTCGTAGTAATTTAACCCGTGCTCTTCTCTCTTATGCTTCCTACTTTTACCGCATGGAAAATGTCATTTCACTCGACAGGATGTACATGAAAACAAACTGCAGCCATTTCTGACATCGGAAAAAATGCTCGGTTACCAATGTCATCAGTTTTGTTACAAGTTATGCAGCCACGGTTTGGTTCGTCATGTATTTTCAGTGTTTCAATGCACAAGAGCCTGGGCAGTGTTTGAGCTGAATGTGCAACATGTACTTGTTAGTCACCATTTAAACTCTAATTATGTGCAGAACAGTGATGCTAACTATTATAAACATCAATTACCAGTTCAAGTCACAGACACCTCTAAATCAGAAGTGTTTTAACACTTTCACTGTGAATATATTATCACTTGTTGTCACTGGCAATGTATTTGTTCACAAAACATATGTGGTTGCATTTTATTTAAAAGTGCTTTTTATATTTCAACATGACTCCAAGTATCAAATAGTACTTTAAGAGTCTATTTTTGGCCACAGTTAATCTTAGAGTTGGGGATAATGTTAGAAAGAGGATCTGGTTTCTGAATAAAGGGGTTGGGTCCAGAAACCTGGTCTTGACCCGAGTATTAAAGGTCCAGTGTGTAGGATCTAGTGGCATCTAGCAGAGAGGTTGTGGACTGCAACCAACCGAACACTCCTCCGCTACCCTGAGGTAGCATAAAACCACAAAAGCCTCTCTTTCTAGAGCCAGCGTTTGTCCGTTATGAGCTACTGTAGAAACATCGCGGTACAAAATGGCGAACTCCAAAAAGCTATGAATGCAGTGTACCTTTTCTGCTAATAGACTCCACTAAATCACACACACTTGATCTTTAAGTGTGACACTGCTAGCTTGGAGATGAAGAAATGAGTTTTAATACTGCCATACGATTACAACAGGGATTCTATAGATTCATAACTTGTGACTTTTAAGCTACTCCCCCATATAGCCTTCTCTTTTTGATCAGAACGACACTTGAATGCGAGTCACATTTCATAAGGTGACCAAATAATCACAAAGAAACATGACAAACTCTGCATTAACCATGTTGATGACATTGAAACTTACAGTCTGTATAGTTTATAAATTAAATGAGGGTTTAAAGTATGTTGATTATCCTTCTTCCGTTTCTTTTTCGGTGTGAAAGCAGGTGAAATCGACCAGTGACACTGCTGAACATTTATCTTTTGTTAATGTTATGAAACGGAGTATCAACACTATCCAAACCTGTGAGTAGTAAGACGGTGACACCTTTTTCATTGTTTTGGCTCAGCACTCCGGCACAATGGATGTGAAATGAAACAATAACTGTGAGGTTAAAGTGCTGACGTTCAGCCATAACGGGGTCTGAGGGTGTTCACATCAATCGTGGCTGGACAGTGCAGGACTCCTTGCCCTTTCATATTTTTTACGGCCAAACAGTGCAATGTTCTTGTCTGCACAGTCAGTCACCTGACCTGAACTCGGTCGAGCCGGTGTTTCACTTACTGAAGACCAGAATGAGGTCAAAAGGTCCCAACAGGAGCAAGTGACTGCAAAGGTTTTGCAATGAAAAACTAAATTCAACATTTCTATTTAAAGCGACTGCTCACCCTAAAAGAAATAAAAAATACATATGTTCCTCTTACCTGTAGCACTATTTATCAATCTAGATTGATTGGAGAGGGTTGCTGAGTGTTGGAGATATAGACCGCAGAGATGTCTGCGTTCTCTTGAATATAATAGAACTATATGATTCTCGGCTTGTGGTGCTCAAAGAGCCAACAAAATAGGTTTTAAAAACTCAACAGCTGGTTACCAGAGATGTGTTCACATGTTTCTCATATAGCAATTGACTAAAGAAATCAAATCCATGAAGATACACAGATTCAGAGAGTTCCTGACCGTGGTAGTGATGTGCTGAGCTGGAGACGAGGTAGAGCGGGAATGACCTCCACCAAAGAGCCACTAGTCTTCACATTAGACAGGCCCTCCAACAGGCAATCACTGGTCACCCCAAACACCGACGTGTGGTAACCTGGGTTCAAATGCAGGATAAAGAAATGTTTAGCTTGACTGGATGATGTCCTGAAGAACAGAAAAGCCTAACGTTTTCTGACACAGCAGTATAGGCAACTAAAGTGTCTTGCACTGGAAGAGCTTTTCGGCCGGACTCACCATTGACGGTGATGTTGCCGGCTGTACGTGGGACGCCAACCAGAGTGACGGGGTACAGGCCAGACTCCGCAGGCAGGGACAGTGCGGCAGGCAGGGATTCAAACTCCACTCCAGATGTCAGCAAACCCTGAACACAAGATCAGATAGAAGGATTATATTAAATAATGGTTGTAATAAATGCCATAAAAAAAAAATAAATAAATAAAATGTGTGTGTGCAGAAGAAAAATGTTCATTCAAGCATAAAGGACAGAAAAGTAAAATCCATTTTAAACAATCTATTGAAAGATCTTGGATAATGATAGCATGAGCCAGCTGAGATGCAGAGTGAGAAAATGACCCGGATCTTCCTCCAATATATATATATATATCACATATATATATATATATATAT